GCCACAGTGTGGTTTCAATGCTAGAAGGAGCCAGAGCTCTGCAGAGAAAGAGCTGATTCCGGTTAGGGCAGGAAGGACAAGATGAGCCTGTGATACCTGTAATACAAGATGAGCCTGTATGCAGAAGTAAGGAAAAGGTTACAAAAACAACAGGCATAGGCACCCTGACCAAGAATCAGTGAAGATATCCTGCTGGTCAAAACTGGAGAAACACAAATGTCAAAAATAATTAGGAATGGTAGTGAATTATAAATCTGTGGATCCACATAAATAATGGGTAAAAATAAGATGGAAGCTCTTGTTTTCACAACTGTGGCAAGTTCCATCGACAAATGTAAAGGGAATACAGAATTTGGAAAGCCATTTTGTAACCGTGACGGAAAAACAACAGCACAGGGAAAAACTCATCTGAGGTTGCTAAATATAAAAGTGACATTTTAATGAGGTAGACAATAGTGCCCATGAGTCTCTCTATATTTCCTTTCTTAAAATTCTATACCTTTATTATTTTTCCAAGTGAAATTAGTTCTTTTAAAATTTTATTTTATGAAAAAATAAAACAAAATGTCACAATCAAGTAAGAGAAAACCAATAGTTATTGCACTGTGTATTATTATCGTCAAAGTAGCTACTCAGAGTACAATACATAAATCAAAAAGATCCTTGCAAAGCAGAAACAATCCAATGTGCACTACTGTCCTATACTTCTCAGCAGTAGAAAGGGGAAATGTACCGCAGGTACACTGTAGACACTAAGCCGGGAACCGCACTGGCACCACACGTAAGGGCCTCCTGATGTCAAACGCTTCTGGAGGAACAATGAACCGTCACAATCACGGTACTCTTGTCTAGGAAAAGACAACTTGCATGTAATTACAAGGAAACATTAGACAAGGCAGAATGACAAACACTTTATTTGGAAACACATACACACGTTCACAGGCAAAAGACACTTCCTTCTTTTAAAAGACCATGAAAGACAAAGAAAGTCGTTATAACTAAAAGTGACTGGAAAGACAATACAACTCTGTGATCCAAACCCAGTTCATGTATTGGACAAAACAGAAAAAAAACTATAAAAGCTACTGCTGGGTCCAACAACAAAACTGAGAGAGAGATCAGAAATGAGTGTTCTAGCTGGGTGTGGTGGCACAGGTCTAACCCCAGCACTTGAGAGGCTGAGGCAGGAGGAACGCCCTGATTCAGAGCAGCCTGGGCAAGTGCTCAAAGCCAGCCTGAACTGCAGAGCAAGACCCTGTCTCAAAAAGACAAAAAAGAAAGAAGTGTTCTAACAGTGAGAGCCATTCTGTGGGGTGGGAACTTCTTTTTTTTAAGGAAATACTCAATGAAGTATTTCAAGGTAAAGTCAAAATTATACAACTTTTAAGAAAATAAACACACACAAATACACAGTTAGAACAATGGTGATTCACAAAAGCAAATGAGGTACAATGCTAACAATTTGGTGAAGATGTTTAAAGGATTATGTGGTGTTCTTTAGGATAAGTTTTTCAGCTTTCCTGTAAATGCAAAGTATTTCCAAATAAACATTTTTACAAGAATGTAGCCAGGTGTGGGGCACACACCTGCCACTGGGAGGCTAAGCAGGAAAGCCGCTGCCAGTTTGAGGCCGGTCTGAACTACATCATGAATTCAGAACAGCCTGTGCAGCACAGGGAGACCCTGTCTCAAAAAACAAACCCTGGAGGGCTAGGGCAGAGCTCAGCAGGACCGAAACCGCCTGGCAAGCACAAGCTCCTGAATTCGATTCCCAGTTCCAAAAACCACACACACATATACAAAAAAGATTTTTTAATAGATACAGGAATGAAAACCTAAGACATTTTCAGATCAACAGAGGCTGAGAAAAATCTATCTCAACAACATAAAAAATACTAAAAAAAGTTCATCAGGAAACAGAGAATAAACCACATGTAAACCTGGATCCGCATAAAAAAACAGAAATCTGGAAATGGCAGATGTGTAGATGAACACAGATTTTCCTTCACACTTGTTTTTATAAGAAAATTGACAGTTTGAAGCAACAATGTTAAAGTAGTAAGGGTTTGTTTTTTAACAGGAACAGAAGAAAAAAATGTGTGACAACCATAAAAATGAATGGAAGTTGCAAGGTCCGTGCCCTACACGTGAAGTAGCGTAACACCACCTGAAGGTGGACGTGGGGAGTTAAAGATGCACGTGGTGGAACAATCACACACACACAAAAACAAGTGCGTATGTGTGTGTGCAGAAAAACAAACTCGGTTTTCCTCACCATGTTTTCATAACAGGCTTCTGCCAAACCCCTTCAAGCAAGCCAACTGCTCTACAGCAGACGCTAGCCGGACGTCCAATTCAATTCGGATACCGGCTACCAGAGATGCATCAGACTGCCCCCCAAACCCTACCTCCAGTGCCAACTCAGACCTCAGGTTCTTTTACCGATACTTCTGGCTGACTCCAATGGCAGTTTCTACAACCCCTCTTTGTTTGATCAATTTTCTAAAGCAGTACACACTACTCACAGAAGCAGTTCAACGAGCAGTTTATTACAAAGGATGTTTTAAAGGACCTCAATGAAAAGCCAAACAATGAGACATTGGAGAAGATGTGGCAGGGACCCCAAGCAGAACGTCTGTCCCTCAGTTTGAGCTATGCCACCACCACAATGTTGTCCACCTTTCTGGAATACCCGAGCCCATGTCTTTTTTATGGTTTGTTTGTATTTTTTGTAGTGCTGGGAACTGAACTCAGGGCCTCAGTATGATAGGCCACCTCTTTACCACCGTTTCATCATCAGCCCTTCTTCTGTGTTTTCATAAAGGATATTCATTACTAGGCATGATTAATTAAATGACCAGCTGCTGATAACCAACTCAATGTTCGGCCTTCTCTCTACCCCAAGTGGAGCCAGGGAATGCCAGCTCTCTCTGGGCACTAGGTCGTCTCCCCTGTCAACTGAGGACCAAAATCACCCATAAACATTAGCTCAAAAGGGTTGAAGGGGGCTTGTAAGCTAGAATGGCGGCTCATACCTGTAATCCCAGCACTCTGGGGGGCCAAGGTAGGCGGGTGGAGAGTTTGAGCCCCGCCTAGGCAATTTTAGAAGACCCTTAAAATAAAAAAGCCTCAAAATAAAAAATGAGAAGGGTGAGTGATACAACTCATTGAGAAGGCCCAGGTCAATCCCCAGTAACACAAAAAAAGTATAGGTGTGGGATAGAGACTGTTACAAATAACAAAGACTGCCTCTGTTCTTCAGGAACCAAGGGGAAAACACTAAATATCACAGCAAAAGATGTTCCATTACTCTAGTCACACGGGGGCTACAGAAGCACTGAGAAGGAACACTGCCCCCTCACACACACAAACAGGTGTCTCGGTATCGTTATCAGAGTATCATACAAGGATAACGAATAAACCACTAATACAGATAAGATGTAAAACTAAAACTTTCTCAACTAATCTAAAAGGAAGGACAAGAAGACGAATAAACAAGACAAATTGAAAACAAAAAGCAAGACAACAGATATAGCCCCAATTAAGTAGAATAAAAGAAATGAAATTCTATAAATTATAGCATGCTTGTCGAATTTAGAAAGAAAACCCAAACCTTACACTGCTTACAAAAAACATAGTATAATACTGTAACAGATAAAACAGTTCAGTAACTGTAACATGTTTAAAGAAAATGAATAAACTAAGAAACATGAGGTGTATCCCACATAAAGCAGATTTAGAGACAAGGACTACTATGCAAGGCGAAGATGAATGTTTCATAATGATAAGTAGGTTAACTCACCATGAATGGCACCCAGCCTAGTGCCCATCTGACCTAACGGGACGCCTAGTCTTGTTTGAAACAGATGTCTGTGGTCTAGAATCTCCTCTGCAGGTGGATGAGCCCAAACAAGCCAAACTCTGGTGGGAGATGGCCACTACAGTGACCCACAGATGACCTCTAGCTTCTTTATAATCCAATTTCCATGCTAAGCGACACCCCGTCAGCCTGCTTAGACAAACTCCAGAGCATACAAGAAAGAATTGAGCTGGCATCTGACCTGCAAGAATTCTAAGAATTTTCAGCTCATCCAAGGGAAAATCATGACTATTCCTCCCCTGGATAGTCTGTCTTGACCTTAGGACCTCCCCAGCCCTGACAATTGAGAACCTGGTTCACCAGGCGGCCTTCCAAGTCTCCACTCCTTTACTGTGGAGGACAGCCTGGATGACTCTCCTTAAAAGAAGAGCAATTATCTCCATCGTGGCTAAACCTGGCCCTTCCCCATGCACGGATTTGTTCAGAGTTGGCTTTAAGCAATGTAAATCGGGCTGGCCCAGGTGCAGTCTTTGAGCAAGATGACAGGTCTGTGTTTCTGTACCCTCGAGGCTCCCAAAAGACATGTGTGAGTGAATGGCAAGGAGATGCATGCTCCACGCTGTTGGCTGGGACCGGAGCCCCAAGGTAAGAGGTTATGACTTCCCCTTCCCCGGTAGGGCTCTCTATTCCACTTGGTACGGTACTATGCAGGGCACCTGACATATACTGTATCACTTATTTCTCTAAAAATGTTAGAAGGTCAGTCACATTATTATTATTTTAAAAATTAGAAAACTAAGGCAGAAAAGTGGCAAGTAATTTGCCCCCACTAGCCAGCGTAAGTTGAAAGGCTGGAACTGTAGCTCAGGCTCTGCAGAACCCCTCCTCACCACCGCACCACACAACCTCTGCAAAGACACCTCAGGAACCAGCACCACACAACCTCTGCAAAGACACCTCAGGAACCAGCGTCCTTGAGAATAGCATTTGCGGCCTGGGACAGCTGGAACGAAGGCTGGCTTGTCACAGTATTCACTAGGTACCTTTGCAGGAATGTATTTGCCTGTTTAACCTTTTACCAAAAAAAGCATTTATTAGAATTTTCTTTCTGTGTGTTATAATCTCTAAGCTACACAGAAGTGCTTTACCTAGATGGCGGTAACTTGTTTTTCTACTTTACCTGACTTAGGATGCAAAGCATCACACTGGGCATTATACATGTGGACAAATTCTTGGTGCCTTTTAATGAGCTGCTGTTTATTTCCATGAGTAGATAATCCATGCTCTTTTAGCTTTTTCTTTAAATCACGATCAGAGAGTAAGTTATACACGGTTTTGGGCAGCTGCTTCCTTTTCTGAGCAGAACTAGAAAGAGGAAAAAAAAATCTCAGATTACTGTAAATTACCAAATTCTTGCATGTAAAACTACAACTTACCTCCTGTTTGACATCTGTGTGACTGGGAGTGTAGTAGAGTCCCAAAATAAAGAGGAAAAGAAATGGAGAGAGTTGGTGGGTAAAGTTTAACATTCAGAGAAAGGGTGCAGGTAACGCCAAATGAGATTTAGGTCTCAGGAAGAGGTCAGGACTGATGATGCAGACTAGAAACATATAAAGAAGGCACATGGCCTGAGGGTTATGAGAATTTCACTCAGAATCTCACTTACGTAGACCGATTCAATTCTGCATCTCTAAAGCATGTTTTTCTAAAACCTTCCCAAGGCTTCCATGCAAGATCCCTGTGAAAGCCAGCTATGTTAGGTTACCAGAGTGTGAATGTGACTGTAGGATGTAATATGGATTAACAGTATCTTGTCACATGTTACCTCTTTAGACAAAGCTCTGCTCCACAGTAAAACATCCCCTCAAACCCGAAGTCATCAATCTGCACAAGTACCCATGAGAAACGGAGAGCTGCGAGGAGGGCGGCCTTCACTTACTTCATGACCGCAGAAGGAGAGACGGCTCAGAAAGCGGCCCAGGGCAGCACTGGTGCGGTACCCTCTCGCAGTGCCGTCTTAAAGATGACGCATGGAAACGCCAAAAATACAATAGGGGTGTGTTCCCTCCATCTTTAATTATGTATGTTAACTAATATATAAGGTCTTAGAAGGAGTGGGTTAGCAAATCCCACCCAGTTTCTCACTTTCATTCAATGTTCTTCTTTTCTCTTGGTACTAATGAGTGAACCTAAGGCCTCCACACTGAGCTCTGTCCCCAGGCTTTTTTTATTCTTTTTTTTTTTTTTGGGGGGGGGGGGGGACAGGTCTTAGCTGCCCAGGCCAGCCTCAAATTTGTGGTCCTCCTGCCTCACCCTCTGCAAGAGTTGGCACCAGATATTGATACATGAATTTTCTTTAAAAGTCATATTAGATTACTTTTTCCTACTCTTTCCCACAAAAGTGATTATAAACATCAAGCTACCTAAAAGTATCATAAACATGAACCCTTTAGCCTGAGCACATCGAACAATTCAACTCTGTGATTGAGGTATTTAACAAGTGTATTTTCAAGGAGCTCATTACAATTACAATCATCACAAAAGAAAAGCAAAGATTCAGGGTAAAATTAATGGGAACTTGAAAGAAACAGGTTTATCTAAAACACAAGATTTATACATGATTTGGTTTTTTTTTTGTCTTTTTCCTTTTTATCGGTACCAGGGATCGAACTCACGACTGCCTGTTTGCAAGGCAGGTGCTTATGCTGCTGAGCTAAATCCCCAGCCTATACATGATTTGTACAGAATCAGTTTACACTAAGCTTCCCGTATTCCAGCATTCCTTAAATAGCTCAGAGAGCTTGCTTACAACGCATGTTCCCAGACCTCCTCCTCAACACCCATCCATAGTGACTGTTCCAGGACAGAAGGGAGACTTAAAACCTGCCCTTCCAACAGCTTCCCGTGATAGTTAAATAATTGTGTCAATCTGAGTGACAGCCACCCAGCTAACTGGAAGGCATAGGTCTGGGTATGATGAAGGGACTTGCTGAAGACAGAAGGCCACCCTGGGTGTGAGTGACAGCAACCCAGGCTGCACCTGAACGGCAGGCAAAGGAGAAGAAGAAAACAGGCTGCTCCTGTTTCTCTGGAGGAGCTCGGGCTTCCCCTTTGCCTGGGACACGACTCCTGGCGGCCAGTGCAGACTCCTCAGGCGCCAGCACAGACCCTTGAGCCCTGTGCAGGGGACTCACGGGGAGCACCAAAGTAAGCTTCAACCCGCTCCTCACTCTCCGGGGCACAGACAGCCCTCCTCTGCACAGCCACACCTGACTCTGGGCGGCCATCACAAGCCAGTCTTACAAATTCTTACACATTTGTTCATCTCACATTGAATCTGTTTCTTTCGTAAGCCCGACTGATACAGTTTCCCGGAGTAAAGATCAGGGCCAAAAATAGACAAAATTACCAGTCTCTCTACTAACCAATAGTGATATTTCCCGAAGAAATTATTTCTTTTGTGCTCTGTTAATAAAATCTGAAATGTACAAAAAGGCCTGCGAACCCCAACAGAGTAAATTTTTCTGAACTCTGTTCTTATAACAACAGCCAATTGAACTCTATAAGACTGACAAAATTATGACAAAATAAAATCACAGTAGGTAGCAACTGCTGGATCATTTATCAGCCATTTATAACAAGCACACAAAGAGAAACAAATTGTTAAGTCCCTATCCAAAATATTTATTTTTCTAAGGACAGATTATTAAGCTTACAACTAAAATTCCAATAAAGAACTGTATCTATCATTCAGTGGCACTTACAATGAAAAGCACTACCTGAGATCAACAATTTCTGTCAGGAATTTGAAAACAACAAGCCAGAGCAAAGTTCCCCCAAACAGAAAAAGAACACTGATCTTTCTTCGGTGATTTAGGGAAGCTGAGCACTGCATCTGAGAGCCTGCGCAATCTGACATCAAGGGACAAGTTCGTGCTTTGAAGGAACCAGGAGGCAATTTCATGCAGGATGGGTCTAAGGGAGGGCGAGGTGGGGTATTGCTGCAGAGGCCGAAACACAGGTCAAGGCTCCTCTAAATGGCCACATGCCTGGACCAGTATGTAACTAAAGAGAGACACTACTGAATGGCTCCCTAAGGACGTCTGGTCACTTTTGCAAGACATGAATTATCAGGACAAAAAGGTTTAGGGGTAAAAAAAACTCGGGAATCACTTGAACCCCGTGGTTATCTTCTGTAGGGATTCTTACGGTTTCTACTACATTAAGACGGTAATGTAGGCCACACTGATAATACTCTACATTACACAGCACCAGACAAGACTACAACTGTATATGGAATGGCATCGGAAATCATTCAGGTACAAGCATAGCTTTGTGGGGGTGTTTTTTTTTATCAGTACCGGGGATCGAACTCATGACTGCCTGCTTGCAAGGCAGGTGCTTATGCCGCTGTAAAAGTTGCAATTAAACTTCCATTAGAATTGCATTCCTAAGCAGCGTACATGTATAGTAGTGGGTTGGTTTAAGAAATTACTTTTATTAGGATTATATTGGAGACAGCACAGCCTGACAGTTGGATGCAGACTGTGGTGATGACTCAATTATAACCTAGGTGGTTTGCAGGACACTACATTTCATACGTATTTTTGAACCTTTTTCTGTATCATGTATCTATACCTGCCTTGTCAAAAAAAAAGTAAATTTTTGAAAAAGAAAACTTGATTTAAAATTGTAAAACTTTCCAGCATCCTAAGAACTGAAAAAAGGTTTCAAAATTTCCATATTCAGAACTGAAAAAAGGTTTCAAAATTTCATATTCATATTCTTGCTTTCTATGCCTAAGAGATTCTACAGGAATTATATAATTCTAAGAAAAGAATTTCTCAGGTAAAAATTTAAAAGTTAGATACATACTCAATACATTTAGTAGTTCTATATTTAATATAATCATATTTGGCAAAGTGAGAGTTGAGGGAAGAACAAGAGGAGAAGGAACAGGATCCAAGGACGCCAGCGGGAGGGGACAGACCACTGACCAGAGAGAAAACACGGAACTTTCCTCCCCACTCGCTCCTCCCCACTCGTGAGCGCCAGGAGCATCTACCCAGAGCAAAGGCAGCAGGCAGTCACTTCCTTACCTTCTGAGGCTGTCCTTCTTCTCCTCGCGAGACAAACAGCTGTCTAAGTGCTTATTAATGTGATTTTCTGGGATGCTAACACTGCAAACAGGGCAATCCACTGTATTTTTTAAAAAGAAAGAAGGATGTTATTATGTATGCATAGAAAGGGCAAAAGCAAGATAAGGTGATACACCAGAGTTATCCAGTCTAATCCATACATTAAACATAGTACAGCAGGGGGTGGCAAACACACTTAGTAGGGAGCCAGGCAGTTAACAGTTGAGGTTTGTCACTCACTACTGGGCAGCTCTGCCGTGGTACTGGGAAAATAGAGACAACATGCAAATGAACGGTGTGACTATGTCCCACGTGAGTCCTATTGACAGACAGCTGGCAGCCAGCTCTGCCTTGAGAGCTGTCGGCTGACCCCGGGTGGAAGAGTGAAGAATGAGCTTGAGCTTCACTAGAACACGATAGTCTCCTGAGAGGGAAAGAGAAGGAGGGCCAGACAGCTGGGGTAGCAGCTTTATAGGATAGAAAGAGCTCTCTAAGATTGAACCAGGCCTAGGGGCAGGGGAGACTGCTCTGCGGCACAAGCACCTGCCTGGCAAGTGCAAGGCTATGAGTTCAATTTCCCCTACCACAAATCAAAACACAACACAACAAAAAGATTAAACCAGGTGGGGATATAAGGCATGGCACAGAGCCTGTCTGGCAAGTGCAAGGTCAGGCATTCAATTCACAGTACCAAAAAAGAAAAAAAGATTAAACTTTAACTACTACAGGGTGGGGGGAGGGGATGGAAAGCTACTCTCATACTTCAAGTATAAGCTAATTAAACTGTTTCAACTTTGCAGCAATCATGCTGAATTTCTATTCTGTAAGAGAGAAAGAAAACAAGCACATCTATAAGCAATGACTACAACCAACTCTGAGATTGCAGGAAGGCGAAATCTGGTCCCTTTGCACTTCTTTCTCTTCAAAACTGCTATTCTTAAGTCATATGGACAACAACATTCCCATTAAGAAAACGCACATAGGATAATAACCTCCTACCTTTAACAACTTGTTTCAAAAAAGATGTAGAGGGTATCTCAGGCCTGTTAGTGTCTGAGTAGCCAGGTGTCATGTTTTCTACAAAACATGTGTCTTTGGTCTCTATAGAAGGGCTTGCCTCTCTTCCATGGCTGAATTTGCTGTCATTTTCTTTTATCAACAACTCTGATGTAGAACCACCAGTTTCTCTGATCAAAAACTTGTCCATTAATGTGTTGCCCTGCTTTAAAGAATGTTTGAAGGCTCCAGGACTCTGTACTTTAACAGCCAGCTTCTTTGAGGAAGAAGCAGGAGATATGGGTAGTGACTCTAAGGCAAACTGCAACAGATGATTCCTTAAACACAAAAGACAGCAACAGATAATTAAGATGTCAAGGTATACATAACAAATCAATCAACATGAGCTATTTTCCAAATTAACATTTATTTCTGTGAAATACAAAACTTGCATCATTCAATCCAACTAGAGTTTCTCCTAGAATAAAACAGAAAGTAATAAATCTAATTTAAAAGGTAATTAATATGTCTATAAAAGAAAATGAGATCTGGCTATGGTGGCACACACCTATAACCCAGCTACACTGAAAGCTGAAGCAAAGATTTTAAGTCCTAAACCAACCTGGACAATATGGCAAGAGCCTGTCTTAAAATAAAAAGTAAATTTAAAAAGGGGTGGAGCTATATAGCTCAGAGGTAGAAAGAAGAGACAAATAAAGGGGCCCAACATTCCCCCAAAAGTCTGCCCTGGAAGCATTTCCTGGGAGCTGAATATGGAACTGAGATCCTAGCAGAAGGGAGCGACCTCTCTGGGTAGGAGGAACAGAACAGAGCACAGGCAAAGGTGACCCGGATAAGAGGAGCAGACTGGGGAGCAGATTGCCACACAGTAACCACAAAAAGGGAACCCCAAAAATCTGCTTAGAAATTCCCACCCACTCGGGATCACCTCAGGGTGCACAAGCGTGCACGAAAAGCAGAGGCCTGCCAGGAAGCAGACGCTGATAAACTGAAATTCCAAAGATCAGTTTGAAAAGTTGTTGGTATTTAAAGCTTGGCCAGAGCCGAGAGACTGAGGTGAAGACCACAGATACTCAGATGAGCTGCCACAAGGCCATTCCTTAGGAGAAGGGACCACCCTGTACAAACAAAACTGAACTACTCAGCCCCGTGAAACACTATACCAGGCCTGGAGGGAACAGCTGAACTGTCAGGAGAAACTCCAGGATCTTTCAAAGAAAGATAATTTTCAGCCTCTAAAACATTTTCCCTACCGGGTTTAGCACACATGTAAAAATTACTAGACATGCAGCAGAGCAAGAAAAATAGCCACCAATCAAAAGATAAAATATTTAATAGAAATCAGAGAAGGATCCAAAGAGTGACACGAATAGATAAGGACTTCAAGAGAAAAATGATAAGTTGAAACAAGAGGAAAATCTACACAACTGGATTTTTAAAACACGATATATTATGAGAGAAGATTAAAAACAATAAAAAAAAAAAGAATCAATGAACCTTGTATCACTACAATACTGCACCTAAATTGAATGGCAGCAACACCAGACAACAGAAAATAATAAGTAGACAATAGAAACCCTCAAACTGAAGCACAGAAGAAAGAATAAAAAAGAAAAAAAAAGTACGGTATCAAGGTATACTCAGAATTCCAAGAACAGAAACAATCAAAAATAACCATCAGGAAAATAAATAACTGAGAATTTTCCAACCCTGGTTTTAAAATAAATAAATAAACCCTAGATTTCTCCATTGAGTAACTCACACAAAACTCAAGCAAAGATAACTGATGTCTAAACATCAAGCAATTCTAAATGATCCACGTGATCAAATCTTAATGGAAATTACACAGCAGTCTGAGTGGAACCATAGCATAGAAGTCTGCCAAAACAATCACTAAAGGGACAACTTTGATAAAGTAAGAAGAAAGTTTAAAAAGTCAGTATTCTAGCTGAGCAGAGTGGCACAGGCCTGTAATTCAAGCAATGTGGCAGGCTAAAACCAGGGAATTATGAGTTCAAGGCCAGCCTGAGAAGCTTCATAAAACCCTCTCACAAAAATCAGTATTTTAAACTTCCAACTTTCCAATTTAACAAATTGTTAAACAATGAGCAAACTCAAGCCAAAGAAAGAAAGAAATTGGAATAGAGATTACTATAGTAGAAAAAAAGAGAAAATGAACAAAGCCAAAATTTGCTTCTTTAAAAAGTCTTAATAAAAATCATTAAATTCCTACCAAGAACAAAAAGTGAAAATACAAATTTCTAAATGTAAGAATTAAAAAATTATCACTACAGACATCAAAGTAATTAGAAATTATTATGAGCAGTTTATAATAAATTTACATTTTTTGATGTAATGGACAAATTCCTTGAAAAGCACTATTTATCAAAATGGTAAAGGAAGAAATAGAAACCAAATGATTATGAACTGAAGTTACAATTTAAAAGTCTTCCTACAAAGGAAACCCCCAGCCCAGGTGGCTTCACTGGTGATTTCCACTCCGTATGCAGTAGAGAAATAACATCAGCATTGCACGGATAAGTCCAGGAGGCAGAAGCAGGAAGATGCTCAACTCACGTGGACGCAGGACCTTGTGAAACCAAGCAAGCAGATTACAGCTCAGTCATCTCCTAAACACAGACACAAAAATCCAAGTGAAATCCTAACAAAATCTAGAGGCAAATTAATAATGCTTATCATGATCAAGTGGGATTTATTACAAGAAAGCAAAGTGGCTTTAGTAAAAAGCAATCGACGTATTCACTACATTAGCAAAACAAAGCAGAAGAGGATATAATCACCTCAACAAAACTTAAAACTCATTTATAATAAAAAACACTCCAGAAAACCAAATCTACCAGACAAAACCAGAGACTCCCAAAGCCTTCAGGAAGAAACACCGCAGAGGAGCAGCCTGCAGATAGCATCTGCTGCAACAGCCAGAGAGAGACTGCATCCAAAAGCCTACTATCCCCTACAAAAATGGTCAGAAGCCATTCCAGGGGTGGGCACTGAACCCTGGACTCTGCCATCACAGGCTGGCTTCATCTCAGGCTCCCAGTGTTAGACAGGCTGGGTGACGGAAGGCCATGGCTTGTACTCCCTCTTCCCAAACTGTGTCTTTAATAGTGTAACTGTCTGGGTTACTTTTCTCATTACTGGGACAAACTACCCAACACCCAAAATGAAGGAAGGAAAGGTTTATTTAGCTCACTGTTTGTAGAGGTTTCAGTCCATAATCAGCTGGCTCCAAGGCAGGGTGGTGTGGCCCTGGGGCACCACTTCAAGGCAGCAGCCAGAGCAAAAGATAAAAAACAGGCCTCTTCTCCTTCCTTATATTATACATAGACCACCCCCAACTCCAGGGTTGGGCACAGCACTCAAAAAATCTCCTAGCTCTCCTTTGCACAGGATGCAGATATTTACAAAGAGCCCTGAATCCCTGCTGAGTCTCTCAGTTAAACTTCTAAACTTCTCAAGTTGACACAATGTATGAACCATAATGATAACCATAAAGCTTGTTAGTCTTTTGATAATCAACTCTGTAAAATTATTATTGAATTCTTTTCTACCATTAGTAGAGATACAGCTGACATATTTAGTACATATTAGCTATAAGTCAATACCTTAGTGCCTTAATGTTTATACCATAATTGTGTGGGGGTTTTTTTCTCTAAGATTAAAGGTGGTACAGAATTGATTCTTATGGCATGTTAATATCTAATTTGTCTGGGACTATAGTACAATAGCTGATTTGCTTGATATTATCAGTAGGGTCACATATTCATCTCTATTTCTCTGTAACACTCAGACCTAGAATACATACCAAGAGAATGTGGCTGTCGAGCCAATTAAAAGCATCCTCCCCTCCCAAATTAACTAAGGTGGTCTGATGTTGGTGCTGAGGTAAAGGAATAAAGTTAGTCACACCCGAAGAACATCACTGAAAAACAACTAACTAAACAGATTTCTCTGCTAGCAACAAAGTCTTTACAGTGTCAGTGTCCACAAACCTTGCACAAAACAAAACAGAAACACAGGGCAACAGAGTGCCTCCCCAAACTCCCACCTCCCCAAAGCTACACCAGGGGGCACCGAGGAGCTGAACAGATAAGCCACACTCCCAAATGCCTCCAAAGGATGATAACAGAAGAGGTCAGAAAACTATCAAAGGGATATTCAACAAGAACACAGAAGATATAACTAACAAGCAACGGGAAGTACTAACCAACACGATCTCAGAACTTCCAAATGACAGTAACAAAAAATTAGATGAATGTAACAAGAACAATACAAAACATGAATGACCAGTTTACCAAAAAATTAGAATCCATGTGAAGGTTTTAATCAGAAATTTAGGAGATTAAGAATCATATTGTGAGTATGAGTAGCAGAACAGACCAGAGTGAGGACAGAATTTTAGAACTGGAACATAAAGATGTCTTCAAAGACCAACTACTCAAAGACACTTTAAAACCAATTAGAGAACATAAAAATGCATCCAACCACTGCTAGATGAAACAGAAGACTAACCTAAGAATAACTGAAATAAGTAAAAAGAAAATAACAGACCATACAAATAGAATAAAACTTCATGGAAATGGCAGAAAACTTCACAAAATAAAAAAATAAGCATGCAAATAAATGTAGCATATAATATAGTCGTCACCAAAAAAAAAAAAAAAGTCTCCAAATCACATTATATTCAAAGTACCAAAAATTCAAAGTATTTTTACAAAACCCTTGCGGATCAATGGATCATCAACAGACGATGATGGGAGGAGCATTGGCAGGGAGGAGCACTGGCACAGGAGGGCACAGCATCAGGGATCCACTTCCTCCAGACAAGTTAAACAACAGCTGCTCTTCAGAGAAAAAACGCAAAATAAGTGAGTGGAGGTGAGTCTCAAGTTTCGGGGAGAAATCCAGCTTTAGATTTAAATTTGGAAGCCATGAATGCAACAATGGCCTTTTTTTCTTTTCCTTTTTTTTTTTTTTTTTTTGTCCTGATACCAGGAATCAAATTCATGACTTTGTGCTTGCCAGGCAGGTGCTAATGCTACTGAGCTATATCCCTGGCCCGGCAACACCACTTAAAACCAGGAGATATTTTATAAGTCATAAACTTTAAAATGAGCCAAGTAAAAATATTAATTTCCAAACTAATGCTTAGACTTAAATTTAATTGGCAATTTTCCCTTGCCATAACCCTTATAAATTTACATCAAAGTGAGTTGGTATTACGATGACTAATAGTACTCATAGGTTCTCAGATATCTCAGGGCTGCAAAGACTCTCAAAGATAAGTTAACACACTCATTTCTATAAATGGTAAAGTTCCAAAGAGTTTCACCACCTTCTCAAAGGATCCAGCTACTTGGGAGGAATACTCACATCCCAGATACTCAGACACATAGCCCAATAAAAACTGTCCTCCCAAATGGTTTCTGGTTCTGAATAAGTTAACTGTGACTCAAGAACAGATTTAAAAAGTCCTGCCTGGTTGTTGAATATACACACACCTTTTGACCTTCTTAGAATGAAGTTAAAAATCAAGAGTTAAAATAGGTCGTTGGGTAAAAACAGGCAGTCATTAAAGTATGCATTTATAACTGAGTCATCTTTCTAACCAAAGTCCCTGCAATGTTTGCTCTAATCTAAAACGAGCAAGTACCAGTGCAGAGCCTTGAACAGGCAGAGCTCAACGAAGCGCGCACTATGAGCACTCTAGGCACTGCTGTAACAGGGCAATGCAGTCCAAAAAGCAGCAAACACAGAGTAATCACAGTATTCTTCTTTCTTCCTTTGTCCTGAATATCTTGTAGATGTTATTTCTAATCTTTACAACAATCCTATCAATAGTACTATTCCCATTTTTTTCAAGTGGAGAAACAGAGGCCAAAAAGGGTAAACATCATGATCACTACCGTATCAGAACTAGAAAAGCCAAGAGCTCACATCTGCCTCAGTTCAAGACCAGCATGCTTTTAAACTACATCACAATCATAAGGAAAGGTAAAATTATATTCTACATTCTCTCTGTGAGACTCAAAGGGAACTATCTACAACAATATTATTCAAAATGCTTAAATTCTTAAATTCAGAGTACTCAGAGAAAACTCATGGCCTTGATGGTAGATAAACCAAAGTAAATTATAAAAATAATGATATAGCATACAGCCGGGTGTGGTGGTACCCACTTGTAATCCTACTACTGGGGAGGCTGAGTCAGGAGGATCATCACAAGTTAGAGGCTAGGCTAGGTTACACAGTGAGTCCAAGGCCAACCTGAACTACATAGAGAGACTCTAGCTCAAAAAACTAAAATAATAATAATAACGATACAAACACAGAATCAGTACTTTCCCTGAGGGAATAATGATGACCCACTTACAGGCACATTTCTGTAGTCCCAGGTACGAGGGAGGCTAGAGGGAACCAACACTCAAGACCAGAAGTGAGAGCCAGTCTGGGCAACACAGAAAGACCCGACTCAGCGCACAACACCACAGGTTCTCAGGGAGCATTACTTTAAATACAACTGTGTCGAGGGAAAAAATATTTGTTCTCTGAAAATAAAAGGCAAAGGTCAGAGGAAGACATAAAAGCTGCCTGTCAGCTTTGTATATGAAAACTTCTGAAATTATTTCCCATGTTGTTTAATTTAGAAAATTAAATTTTTAAAAATCAGAATGGCACTTAAGATGTGAATGAAAGATGGGAAAGACAAAAATTTTTTAAATATAAATTATCTTACATTTTAGTTATAAGACTACACTTTCTCCCCCCCGCCAAACCACAGTTCATACAAGCACTAGTACTGGATTATTTTCAATGTCTTTGCTATTAATTTTGCGAATGATGCACCATGGCGTTCTACACATGGTGAATGTCCAAGAAACGCTGGCCACGAGGATGAAGGTAGTAAGATGGTGATTTCAATTCGCCCAATGCAGAGAGAAACAAATGATAAAGTCTATCCTAACCTACCAAGAATGCTCTACCCCCTCCTCACACTCACTGTAACAATAACAACATAGCTGACTCCTCTGGGAGGGACAGGTGAAGGAGGAGGCAGCTATTCCAAGGCCGCCTCCTAGTCACCCAAGGTCTGCAGAGCTGACAGTGCTGAGCAACAAACAGACGCTTTAATCTGCCCTGCTTCCTCTTGGCTAGCCTTCCTGTCAGGTTTTCACTACCAGCCTAAGAAAGACAAAAACTCTGACAGTTTTACTGGCTTGCAAAAACTCTAACCGCCCATGGAGGCTTCCTAGAGCAACGGCTCTGTCTTCTCAGACCTCAAAACTCACTGCTGAAGGGCTCTGCGGTAAAAACAACAGTAACTGATCATAAGACTCAGACTGCCTCCGCCCCTAGGAGTACTAACCGCTGAAGAACCCTACAATAGAAAATATAAGGCAAGCAAGACGCTCACAGCCTCTCAATTCAGAAGAGCATACCATCCTCACGAAACCTCGCCCAAGCAAGTAAAGGCCAGTTACTAGAATGTTTAAATTACGGAATTAAATTTTGTAAGCTCAGAGTACTAAATTTGATCATTTTTAGGATACATAGCAACAAATAAATGTGTGATTCTATGTGAGGAAATCTGTGTACATTTTTGAGAGTAATATGAAATACCTTCAAGAATGTTCCCCAGAAAGTGATACACCTTACTTAACACCTCACCACTACATAAACACACTATGTCCTTAATAAAAATTGTTGTTTGATTTATATAATTAAAACTAAACATAGTTCACGTTACTGTTCAGTAAACAGTCCTTTTTATATGCCTTCGGTGACCAAACCTGTCTTCACACATTCATGCATTTGACAGGCAGCAAAGCTGCACATCAGAACTTTACAAAGGAAAAGCGATTCCCCATCTCACACGGCACTTCACGTCATACATGCCAGTAAATCAGATTAAAAATTAACATATTAATACACAGCGATGGAGATTAGGACACACATATGCACACACGCTTGTGTCACGGCGAGGACCTAGCAGCGGTGACACCCCAGGGAACCTCACCTGGCTTCTAAATATTATTCTCCAAAAAAAAAAAAAAAACAGGACTCCTCAGAAACACGGCTGATTCTAGGACGACAGCAAAAAATTACTTACAAGATAAATGACAAGTACAGTATCTTTATATCACCAAAAGTAAGAAAGCCCTTAAATCTGCATTTTTAACTCTTGTTCTTCCTTAACAGAACTGTTATCACATAAAGGAAGAAAATCTTATTCCTGTCTTACATTTCCATGTCTAAATAATGGCCGCTGTCACTTCTTTTACCCCAAAACACAGAACCCTGGATTCCCTGACTAAAAAGAACACAGAGAGGAGGCACATAAAAAAGCAAAGGTAGTTAGAGGTTAGTCCCAGAATCAAATCATACCGTGCAAGTTTCAAGCTCTTTACCAGTTCATCCAGTAGGCGGTTATTTTTCAGGTCTGGCTCTGTGACCGTCTAGCAAAGAAAAACAACAGATGGAAGAAGATCAAAAACAGTCATTAATTTGTCATAATCTTGTTTTTGAAAATACCTGACCCATTCTCTTGAGACCCTCCTTACCACTAAGTCTTCCAGGAAAGCCTCAAAATAAAGTTCATTTGTCTCATACTAGCACGGAATATTAAAAGAATGAAGCAATACCTGCTAACTGGAAGTCTGTTAAGAACTCTCCAAAGAATCGGTATAAGTCATATATTATTCACTCTGCACTAAGACAAAACCTAATAAGAACAAGAATTTTTCTTCAAAATGCCAGTACTCAGCTTGCCCAAAAATTTCTCTTGCAACAATAAGAGACACACTCTCCTAAGTAATAAACTAGGACAGCCATAAAATTTTCAAAGAGATTTTAAAAATATGATTGGTTTCAGGAATGCAAGAGAACAAACACTAAACTCAGCACGTACTCAGCATGACCATTACACGACCATATGAAGAGGCCATTTCGGCAAAGACACGCGACACAGTGGGAAAGATCTCGGAGCTGTGGGCTGAACCGCACCATTTCCCGCACGGCACAGAGGCTCAGAACACTCGGGGACGCCTGATGCTGCGAACCTCCCGGACACGCCGCGCTAATCAAGCCTTTCCGCGACTGTCTCTGTCTTCTCTCTCACTCACGGTTGACCAATCTACCTTCCCACCTGTTCTCACCACAGCACTAGAAAAGTTTTAAAACCCTTAACAACAAATGCCCTAGTGTTTTCCTGCAGGTCTGGTCTGAGAAAGAGGTGAAGAGGACCGGTGAGGCTTGCTTAAGCCTACTGGCCATGAATCTCTGCCTTCCACACACATACTTACCCTAGTCCTCTACGACTGAATAATCCAAAGAGCGCCTTCCACCAAAAGTGAAAATTATTTTAAAAAACAGGTCATAAAAACATAGGTTATAGTAAAGAGCACCACATGCTGATCTTCAAACTAGTTTTTACTTCCTACAATACATTTAGGTTATCAGAAAGTGTAATGGGAAATTGAACAGTCTTTCATGTACTTCAGAATTCCTTTCTGAAAACGTCTTTTACATAGTTTAATTCAATTGACTACTCATCTTTCTACGTGCTTCTGAATATGCATGAAGCAGAAATATTTGTCTAAGTTAAAAAAAAAAAGAAAAACTCACCACACAACAAGTTGGACACTGGGTTTTATATGACAGAAACTTTCTGATACAGAGGGAACAATCTGCAAGACATAAAATGCAACACAAGTTAATAATGTAGGAACTAACTTTTAACAAAATCTGACTTAAGCCCTAGGAAATTTCCATCACCTAAGGTAGATCACTATAATCTTAAATTTCTAGCACCTCAGATCTACAAACAATAACAAGCAACTAAATGGCATTTTGAGGAAAATACATGAAGTATATATAATGAGCCTTGTATTAGTTACTTTTCTCTCATTGCCGAGAAAAAATATTTGATGCCCAAAATGAAGGAAGGAAAGGTTTACGGCTTCAAGGCAGAGTGGACAAGGCAGCGGTTCATGGCGGCAAAAAACAGGACAAGCTACACGAGCAAACGGGGAAGGGCACGAGGAGAAGACTCTCTCTGTCCCTTCTATTGTAGGCAGGCCAGGCCCACCAGGGTGTAGCACCTTCACCCAGAAAGCCAGCCTTGGACCATGAGTCATTCACAAACTCTAGAAGCCTGTCCCATGACAGCCTGAGGCTTTGGGGGGACATCCAGACCCAAACAAGTCCCCAGGATGCAACTCCGTGAACATATGTAACACCCTGTCTTTTCCATTTGCAAGCCATAGGAGCATACTCGCAAGACTTAGGCTGAGTACTGCACAGACATCCCCATAGTGCTACTGCCCGTGACACAAAAATATAAATTTTGAAAAAATTGTCTGTGCTATGTTAAGAAATGAAGCATACAAGGTTCCTCACTGTCACGCTCGAGGTGAGGTCCATCGTCTCACGCTCACCAAGCAAATGTGTGACACACACTAAGCACAGGAGAAGGGGAAGACGCCTTCCCCCCGGGCGCTGACAGGCAGGAGGCACCGCACAGTTCAGTGTGCTGATCTTAGCCACCTCGGCAGAGACAGGCACGGACTAAGTCTGCCACACTCGAGGAAAAGTAAATGCCTTCTAGTCACAGAAAAGCAGGCACCACTAGCAGCATGGCCCTTGCCAGCAGCTCATTCCAAGTAGCCAGATGCAGCTGACTTAAGGAAACCTCGTAAAAAGATCAGTTTTCTGGGCATGGTGGCACATCCCTATAATCCTGCTTACTCAAGAGGCTGAGGTAGGAGGGTTGCACATTCACGGACATAATTAGGCTCCCGCACTACAGGGCTAGAGACAGAGCTCAGCAAAAGTTCCTGAGTTCGATTCCTGGTACAAAAAGGGTTTGGTGGCCTCACATGTTGCTTTTCACATTGAGACATGGTGACTAAGTGCCAAAGCCCCTCACTCCTCTGCAAGGCATTCTTAAACACTGGAAGTTGCTCGACCCTTCCATACTGAAGCCATTTGCTATTTCTCTGTACACGTGCATGGCCTGCCTACCCTCAGAGCCAAACGGAATGCAAAGGGAAGTATTCATTATGATATTCTTTAACAGCTGGAGGCATACTGTAAGAAAGAGGGAAAATGGTTAGAATTGCTTTATGTTGAATTTTTTTTTTTTACATTAGAGATAATTCTTATTTGTGCTACAAGTATAATTATAATCCTCATGAGACAACTCCCATTCATAGGTCTCTTTCTCTCAGTGACTTAAAGCAAATTAAGCTAGAACTAGGAACATTTTCAGATGATCCTGATTAGTACGTTGAGGATTTACTTAGACCTATAAACTAGGTTGGGAAGATGTAATGTTACTCTAAAATCAGACACTGCCTTCTAGTGAGAGACAAGCAACATTACAAGCTGCTATTGCCTTTGGAGGAGAATATTCTATGGTTAATTTTAAAAGGCCAGAAGACAGACAACCAGGGCACCTGCCAATTCCCACTGGGCACAAGCAGCTCTACCCAAGACACCAACTGGCCTGACGGCAAAACAGGAGACTAAAGCTGAAGACACTTTTAAGTGTGTGTTCTCCAAAGACTAAGAAGGACAAAAAGCAAGCCTCTGGTTATTTTAAGTAGTCAGCTATTTTTCAGGAGAAAGAGGAAAACCTCTCTGACTTCTTAGATTGTTTATGAGAGGCACTAATAAAACGTACGTCCATACATATAGAATCAACAGAAAGACAGATTTTGCTTAAAGACATGCCTGCTACCCAGATATTAGAAAAACACGACAAAAGATAGACTTTACTCCAGACAGTTCATTTGATTCTTTAGTAAAACACTGCCTCCTTAGTATTCTATAATCAGGACTACAAGAAAAAAACCCAAAGAGAGAAAACAAAAAGACCAAAAAGTAGCTGCCTTTATTGTGGCCTTTAAAAAAACAGACCTTAAGTCTGATTCTTGCGGCTCCAAGAAGAGCTCAACAGCCAGCCAGAAAGGCTGCACTGACCTGCTAACACTGCCACAAGCGAGGCCAGTGTAAGACGACTGCCTGAAAGGCCCCAAGCCATACCCCAGCTGCAAAGGGGACCACAGGAGGCCACACTGCCCTCTGAGGCCACGGCCCCAGAGTTCAGACCCATCCCAGCAGCTGGGGCACTCGTCTCCTCCCCCTGACCAGACTGTCACCTCTGCCTGTCATCTCTGCAGAGGGCATCTGAGTAACCATGAGAGGAGTTCAAAAAATAGCCAACGCTGGCCACGGGCACGGGTCACCTTGGTCTTCTCCACTCTGGTCTTCCTTCCAAGCATCACAGCTCAATAAAGCCACCAAAATGTATGTTGCTTAAGCTGGAATTGGGATACCTTTCTCTCCACTCATTCCTTTTAGTTATGCCTAAAAGCCTGACTCCAATCCTGGAGAGATTGTATCCTGTCCAAATGCTGTAATATGTATCCAAGTTACCAACTAATCAAAATGATGCTGAGACTGTTTTTTATGAATACAGTACATACTGCTGTTCATATATAAAAACAAGAGTTTTTTATTTGTCGAAATAATATATTAATCTGGTCCTCATAAGTTATCAAAAATTTAGAGATAATAATAACTAAAGCTAGAGGGATTTATGACAAAATGTCAGACTCCACCAATAAAGTGACCTAAGTGTCAATGGGTTACAATTGCTATTCCTTACAAAGTTTCTAAACTTAACTGTTAGCTCTAATGCTCATGTTTTGACTACATATGCCTTTGTATACATACTTTGATTATACATGCTTTTTTGATTAAAATTTTTACCTAGAAAGTGCCAAACCCCAAGTAATCATACAGATAAAATCAGTAACAATATGCTAGATTCTTTTTAGGTTCCTTTTAGTGGGATCCACCAGATCTTATCTAGAGAAAAGGTTATATGACACATGACACATGTTGAGGCCTTAACTAACTATATCAGCAGGCCTTAAATGATCTCTCTCTTTTCTAAATTAAAATAAAATTAAATTAAATTAATGGACAGGTCATCCTCCAAAATCAGAGGACAATAGACATTCTAACAGCACAGGAGGTACTTAGGCAGTAGTAAAAACTACATGTGTGCACATTCCCGATCTCTCTGCTAATACTGCAACAGCTATTCAAGATCCGAGATGACAAATCAATGACATGTCAGAGTCTAAAATTTTCTAGACCTTATCCTCATCCTCCTCATGGGAAGCCACTACTAGCTCCTCTTGGTGAAACTCTGTGTTAACTGTACTCATGACAACCTTGTGGATTCCATTATTTGGTCCACGCATACTTAATTGTTTTTTTTACTTTGGCTTTGTCTCCTTCAGACTTAGAACTATGCCTACCCAAGATGAAAATCCTGGTATCTCCTGAGGGTTAGTACTAGTTAGTACCTCTGTAGAGTAACCCTGACTGTCGTTAAACAACTACAACCCTCTTCAGCCTGAAGAAGCCAGATCCACCATGGCCATTACTCCCTCCCAGCAGTTCGAGGTACTTGTTCAAAGGGAGAAACACTACAGGCAGCTGAGTTAGTTAGAAATATTATTAAGCAGTCAGACAGGGTTGGGCCCTCAAAGGAGCCAGTGCAGAAGCCCAGATACCTTGCAAGAATGACGGCTTGCTACGTGACTTGCTTCTCCGTTTGTCCCTGATTTGATCAATTTTACCTGAACAGCTGATCTTATGGACTGACCATAGTTCTGTCTCACCTTATGCCTGTCTGCCAAGTTCCCATTTTCCCCCATCTTGGACCCATCTCACCTCGTGGTTTTACTCTATAGAAGTCCCTCGAAAAGACAGAGGCTTTGGCAGCCCACTTGGGGCCTCTTCTGTCTGTCTGTCTGTCTGTCTCTTTCTCTCTCTCAGACAGAAGCTTTCTTTCTTTCAATAAATATACTCTTCTCTTAACCTCCATTGGTCCTAAAATTCATTCTTTGATTTGAGAGAACACAGATTTGTACTAGAAACGTAGTAGGTTGGGAGTTTCATTCCTCTGTATCAAAAGGAGGCAGGAGGAAAGCTGGCAAACTTACCTACAGAGGGACAAAGATAACAATTACAGCTGACTTCTCGTCACTACAGTGTGAAGATGACAGTGAAATGCGTAAGGTTTTCAGAGAAAAACACAACCAATCCCAGTCTCTAGAACCTGTGAAATTATCCCTTAAAAGTGAAGAAGAAATGTTTTGCCAAACCAGTAAACACTGAGGGAGGCTGTTGACAACAGACCTTCCTTTAATACATTATAAGTGATCTTTGGAAAGAAGGAAAACAATTGAGGCCAGAAACTCAGACCAAAAGAAGACCAATGGAGGAGAAAGTGACATAAAACAAAAGTGTTAGAAGGGAGCTCCGGCCTAGGCCTGCATCCCAGCACTTGGGAGGCTGAGGCGAGAGGGTCGCTGTGAGTTTGAGGCCAGCCTGGGATACAAAGTGAGCCCAAGAAGGCCAGCCAAAACTGTGTTAGTGAGACCCTGTCTCAAAAAGGGAAAAAAAACTTTATTAGTTTATTATTCTAAGAGATACATTTGTACAAAATGATAGCAAGCACTAAATTCTATATGCTTACAACATACGTGTGTGTGCACATATCTGTATGCACTGAATATATGCATGCTTTAGAGTAAGTGAAAGGCGTGACAGCACCTCAGCGCTGCTAGACAGGGACCCGGCACAATCAGCCGCGGCCAGGGCCTGG